GAGAGAGAGAGAGAGAGAGAGAGAGAGAGAGAGAGAGAGAGAGAGAGAGAGAGAGAGAGAGAGAGAGAGAGAGAGAGAGAGAGAGAGAGAGAGAGAGAGAGAGAGAGAGAGAGAGAGAGAGAGAGAGAGAGAGAGGGATATGTGTAACATTTCTTTTAATCTGTCTACATACATTTTACGGAAAATTTATGCATAATAATATTTTTCACCTAAAATTAAGAATTACAAAACATATACAATACAATTCTAATTAGTGATAATAGAAAATATGTTACTTATAAAACTATACACTATTAATTTCAGATTTGGAAAATAAAATTCAACCTTCAACACACAAATTTTTTTGTGATGTTGCAATTATAAATACATACAATAACTACCTATTGATACTGAAGTTATTTGTTCCATCTCCTCCATGTAAAATATTGTGTACCAGCATTTTTCTGTGCCTGATGCTTTACCTCAAAGACGGTGGTCTTATGATATAAAATCTATTACTTCTAAAACTTTGTATTATTAAGTCCATAATTTGAATTTGTATATACCCGCACAGGGTGCGGGCCGGTCACCTAGTTATATATAAATGAAAATAAATTTACTAGATGGCTCAAATCCAGTTTTGAACAATCTATTTGGCAGTCTAAATCTTCCATTTGTAATCTGAGACACACAATAAAAAGGAAAATATGTTAGGATTCATTTAAAAAAGTACATGTGAAATACGACGTACAATATAACAATAAAATGTAAAAGGAAAACCAAGTAAGACATAATAATATGCATAAACAACAGACGAATTTAATGCATAAGTGAATCAGTGGAAACATACAAGGACAAGCACTCAATAATCTACATAAACCAAACATTTATTTTATTTACAAAAATCCAAAAGTCGATTCTGTTTACACGAGTTCTCGAGTCTATTCTATGGGTCGATGATCTATTTCCCTACAAGAAATATCATATAACACCAAATATCTACGGAACTATGACCCCGTTTTATTTACCCCCGAGAATAAAGTTCGCAACCTATTTCTCCACCAAATTTGGTTTAGTTATGATTTCTGAAAACCGAATTTCAAATCTCCACTCTCATATAATAAAACCGAGCAAAACTAAACCAAGACAAAATTAAAAACCCACTCTGATCTAGATCAGAACAATAACCCGATCCAACATTCGAACTTAAAAATATCCGACTGATTGAATCTCAATCTGATTAGTCATTGGCTTAACATGATCTACGGTTTGTTTATAAACACTAAACCAATAAAAATCGATTTTGTGGGTTTTTAGATTTCTATCTTTATAATCGTGGGGAAATATCTATATTACTTTAATTTATTGGGGAAATAGATTGCAAACTTTATTCTCAGGGATAAATAGAACGGGGTCATAGTTTCATGAACATTTGGTGTTATACGATACTTCTCGTGGGGAAATTGATTGTCGACCCTTATAAAAATATACTTTGACCGAGTTACATGGTATGTGACCTAGTTTTCCAAAGGAAGTTGCTCTATGTAATCATACAATTGATTATGTATCCATTTTTTTGTTGTTGACAAGTCTCTTTAAGTGTTTGTCTTCATCTGAGAGTGAAGCTTTGTCCTTAAACTCGAAAAAATGTCCTGAAGCTTCTCCTTAAGGCCATGTCCGTCTCTTTGTTTCCGTACAGTATCGATCAGAAGCCTGTATTTCAATAGCGTAGCCTCTGGTAAAGGTTCCAAGAACTCACACTTAGACAAGATCTCTGGAGGAGGAACACCCGAGACGAGGTTCGTGTCCAGTTTTGCTCTGCTTTTCTTTGTTTCTTCAGGTTCTCTAACCAGGGGACCCTCAATAGCTGAAGGAGACGCACCTGGGATCACTTCCCTTGTGAAGGGTAATGATCTTGCGGGTTGCAAGCAGAACTCTATCCACTGGTGGATTAATGGAGATGGGCCTCGGACTCGTCCTCCTAGCGCTTCAACTTCTTTACCAGAGTTAGATATAGCTGGGATTGCCTTTAGAAAAACAATGATGCTTAACAGGTTAGTGTCCACTGGAAGCATTTAAGAAAATATAATAAGAATGTTTACCCATAGATCAGCCCATAAGGTGGCACCGGACTTGGGAACAATCACTGTAACATTAGACATACGTTTGGCGACAGGGATAACATCGCTGCTCCAACCAACGGTGACCCAGA